TGACAATATGGACATGATAGCCTTCCATGCGTTGTCCATCCAGATAACATACCATATGCTGGAAAATCACTTATTGTCCACATAAATACTGCCCGCATTTGAAAGTTTTCCTTACACGAAACATTGTATGTTTGAGCACCTTGAGCCCATAGTTGTTGAAACTCATATATTAGTGGCTGAAGAAACACATCAAGTGATCTCCTAGGATGCTCTGACCCGGAAACGAGAATGGAGAGAAACAAAAACTCTCGAGGCAAGCACAAGTTAGGCGGTAAGTTGTATGGTGTAAGAATGACTGGCCATAGAGAATATTGTCTCCCATGCTTGCCAAATGGGCTGCAACCATCCGTAAATAATCCAAGGCTTATCATTTTCTCGTTGACTATACACTCAAAAGCCAATAGTCGCTGTCCACGTCATGCTTTTGTTAACGACTTTTCACTCCTCCAACGATGAGTGACACATCCTCTAGCTTGTGTAGCACTTCACTCACAAGCCACCCGAACATGCTCCAATTATTGAGCTTTGAGTGACACTTCAAAGTGTGCTTGCAGTCACTGATGGAGAGAAAAATTGCAGATGCTTTACAGAGGCAAATAAATAATCAGTTCTGATATGTTCTTTGAGTTAATAAATGTAGCAACGTTTTTGATTCGTGATTTGCAAAAAAACTATAAAGAGAAAGTATTCATTGTTGGCACATTTCGCCATACGTTTTGACATATCACCATACACACAAGCCAGTGAGACCCATGGGTGATCCTATCCTGAGCATAATGAAATATAGGTTTGTAGTCCCCAAAATTACAGAAAAAGTTTACATAGAAATACGTCCCTAATGAGACCAGAGAAATGAGTTTGGTTGTTGTGAATGCTTTGGCATTCATAAGGATCTCCAAGATATGAGTAAGATCTTGGTTCCACGGAGAGTTGAGAATGACATTCGAGAAATAACATGAACAAACTTACCCTAAAAACACTTGTTATGTGAAGCAGAGAGTTGCAAATATTTTGTTAACACGGTGGGATACACTCCTAGTCTTTGTTCTATGTAAATAATTCGACTTTCGAACCTGTAAGCTAACAATTTTATTGTACAAAGTGGATGTATCCTCTTGCACTTTTATGAATGTTGTTTTTTTACAAATAATCAACAAACCCCTCATGTTAAAAAAAAAAAAACCGTGCTTGTCTTGTTATCTTTACAAGCTCATTGCTCTTGCTGAGTTTATTCTTTCCTCAACCTGCAAAATACCCATCAGGTTTCAGTGATCATCATTATAGCCAAGTCCAGACACACATTAAGTACGTAATGTATAGTAAGGAAACATATGATACTTTTGTCGGTAAGAAACATAACTACTTGCTATTACTTAACATAGTTTCAGAAGAGAGGGTCCATGAAGTAGACTAATGGTATCATACTGAAAGTTAATATTTTATTTTTTATTTTTGAAGGAGGAAGTATGGGGCCGCAGCCCTTAATCTCCTAAGCCCGAAACCACAAGATGTAATATTAGTTAATATTTACTCAAGGAGCAGCAAACAATTGATCTTTATAGCCATACCGTTGTTTCTGTAGCATCTTTCGACTTGTTCTCGTTGAGGTAACGGTCAAAAGCCCCGTCTCCTCTAAGTATTATTGCTGTGCATCTACGAGAAGCTTCTGAGCCTGTTGATTCCGCATCTACAATAACAGCGTCGACTCTTTCATCTCCCTTCTTAGCATCTGGAATCTGACAAAAACAAAATGAAACAATAATGTGAAGAAAAGAATTATAACGTAGCTTAACAATCTTTTTTCTGTTGAAGCTGAAGTACCTCAAACATGGCTTCGGTAAGAATGCTTTCAAGCAAGGCTCTTAGTCCCCTCGCACCTGTATTCTTCACCATCGCTAGCTTGGAAATAATCCCAAGCGCTTTCTCAGTAAAATGCAACTTTACCTGAAATTATGCAACAGATCATGCAAGTTTAAGTACCAAAAAGTCCAAGTTTAAGCTTTATATCTGAATACATTTACATCAGGTCTTGTCAAGTGTATCTTTTGAGGTAGCTTACGTTGTTCATACTAAAGAGTTTCTTGTACTGTTTCCCAAGAGCATTTTTGGGTTCTACAAGAACCTGCAGGACAAAGAACAAAGGAAACACTTTACCTACCCCTTAAATATGAGATGGGTAAAATCAACGACTAATCTTGATGAGATCATGAGCAATCACAAATGCACTATCAGCAACATAATAAAACACAAACTTTTTTGAAAAATGTTAAATTACCCTAACGAGCTGGTCCTCTGTTAGAGCTGACAAACTAACTAATATGGGAAAGCGTCCTACAAACTCAGGTATGAGGCCATATGCTGTAAGATCAGCACTCTCGACCTGAAAACGCAATAAGCATTCCAAAACTAAGATCCCTTTCAAGGAACGATAAGTATTTACATAGGGAAACAGAGTATTTACCGATTCTAGCAAAGATGAAGTTATTGCACCACTGGTAACTCCACTCGTAACCATGTTAGCACGGACAGGAGCTCCAAAACCAATAGATGAATCTTGTCGTCTGGAGACATTAGAGATGACGTGATCAAAGTTAAGCAGAACCAGTAATGTATCACAACAAAAAGAAAAGGAAACTTACCTATCCACAATGGTCTTCTCAAGGTCAACAAATGCTCCTCCACAGATAAAGAGGATGTCCTTTGTATCTATCTATACATCATAAAAATCAAACAGTAGAATAATATGGGTAAACACTTCTATATGCATATAATGAAACTAGACGACTATAAGAATTAAATTAAGTTTCTATACCTGTATATGGTCAGCCCGTGGATGCTTCCTTGCTCCCTTCCCTGGAACATTTACGATCTGGAAAGATCCAAAGATCAGTACATAAGCAAATCAAGACGATCACTTTCAGAGTACACTATAGGCAAGTGAAAAATAGTTCCAGTAAATGCATTAAAGGGTAAGAAAGTAAGTCCACTTACAGTGCCTTCCAGTAATTTCAAGAGTGCCTGTTGGACTCCTTCCCCGGATACATCCCGGCTAATGTTTAAACTCTCAGCCTGTAGAAGGAAAACAAATTCTAGAAAGCATAAATCTCATTTATCGATTTCAGAAGTTATCATTGTCTTTCATACTGACCTTCTTAGTTATCTTATCAACTTCATCGATGTAGACTATTCCCTGCTGTGCTGCTTGCACGTTGAACTCAGCGACCTACAAGTCCATAAGGAAATCTTCTGAATGCCAGAAGATGACAAATGTGCTGAGAATGTTATTGACTAGTGACTAAGAAGTGGTACCGTTAGTAGTTTATGAAGGATTGATTCAACATCGTCACCAACATAGCCAGCCTATATAAAAGATGGGTCAAAGAGCAACATTCAAAACCATAATTCAAGGTAAAATCACAATCTTACCTGAGTCAGTGTAGTTGCATCAGCAATGACAAATGGAACATTCACAAGCCGAGCTAAAGTCTTTGCGAGTAATGTTTTTCCTATTTGTTCACAAAATCGAAAAAATAATCATGACAGAGTCAACGAAGAATAGATTATGATCAGAGAAAGTAAACACAAGTTCATACCAGAGCCAGTAGGGCCCATCAGAAGAACATTGCTCTTATCTAATTCTACATTATCGTCATCATCAATTGGTTGTGCTGCTGACCTAGTAGTATTCAAGGTCCAAAATGTCAGGTTCCAACACAATCCTAATAACGCAACAAACCTTTACAGATGAAAATTAAAGCAATGAATGAGAGAAAACCAACCCTTTCTTCATAGAGGTATGATAAATTCTCTTGTAATGGTTATAGACAGCCACAGAGAGCACCTAAAGACCAGACAGACTGTCATATGTTATAAAATGACAAGAGATGATCTGAAATTAAAGTGAAAAGGACAGAACCTTTTTAGCGCGGCTTTGGCCAATGACGAACTTGTCAAGCCATTTGGAAATCTCTTTCGGAGTAGGAAAGTCTGTGCCTAAGCTAGCTCCACCCCAACGACTAACGTCTTTAGATGCATCCGGTAAGGGAGAAGTATCCGTTTTAACAGAGCCGTTAGAAGCTGGAGCTATGTTGTTGGGAGGAGAAGCGTTCAAAGGAGGAGGAGGAGACCAATCCTCAGGTGGCTCAGCACCGTAAGATCTGAGCGTATCCCAGAAGGAAGATCTGAGCTTATTCCTGTGATTGGAGCTGAGATTCAAATCCTTTGAATGTTGTTTCCTGGTGGTGGTGGATGTTGGGGACTGAACACGACCGATCTCGATGAATGTCCCCTGCAGAGCAGAGACTCCGTAAGCGGTTTTGCATGTCGGACAGAAATTGACAGACTGGAAACTGGTTCTGTCTCCGGCAGGGGCAGAGGATGAATCTGAATCATCGGGACGGTGGAGGAGATTGGGAGAAGGGAATTGACGATTGGAGAAGAGAAGATCCATTTGTTTCGAGCATCGAGGGCAATTGGGCTCTGCTCTTAACTTCCGGCGTGTGAAGGGTACTGGAAAATCATCTCCTCCTCCTCCTCCTCCCCCACCGTTGTTGTTTCCACCACCAACACCGCCTTGCTCCGATTTGAATCGTTTCTGGAGACGGCGACGAGGCGGAGACAATCCCAATTCAAGAGAGTAGAGATGAACAGCACGAGCGTGGAAAGCTAAGGACTTTAGATTCCTCCATCTCCAAATTCCAGACATTTGATGATTGGATTGGATTGGATTGGATTGAATGAAACACAACTCTGTGTGTGTGTGTGTATACAAAATAAAAATAGATACAGTTTTTTTTTTTCTATATAATTCAGACAAATAATTGAGAAAACTCGAGATCCGAACCAAAGAGATATGTCTGCATCAGCTTCAATGATGTTGTGTCTTATATATAAGTATATAGTTTATGTACTTTTAGATCGAGTGGGGAACCTTAAATCCGTCAATTTGGAGGAAGAAGAGAGACGATAAACGATAGACTCGGAGAGAAAAAGACGAAGCCACTCACAATATTCATCTCTCTCTCTCATCGCGTTTGGTGGAATAGCACATGGGGACACGTGTAAGCCCATACCTCTGACGGAAATCACCCTTCCACGCGCCGTCACGCATGGCGGAACCATCATCTCAATCGGGTCAATTTGTCTCCGACGTGATTTCCAAGTCGACCCATTTGAATCATTTGAAGCAAGTTCAATCCTTTCTCGTCGTTGCTGGACTAAGTCACTCACCCTTCCTCTGTTTCAAGCTCCTCCGCTTCTGCACTCTTCGTCTCTCTAATATCTCCTACGCTCGCTTTGTCTTTGATCGCTTCTCTTACCCTAATACGCATCTCTACGCCGCCGTTTTGACCGCTTACTCTTCCTCTCTCCCTCTCCATGCTTCCTCTGCCTTCTCCTTCTTCCGTCTTATGCTTTACCGCTCGGTTCCTCGTCCTAACCACTTCATCTACCCTCTTGTCCTCAAATCAACACCGCATCTCTCCTCTGCTCTCTCCACTCCTTTGGTGCATTCGCACTTGTTTAAGTCCGGGTTTCATCATTACCTCGTCGTGCAAACCGCTCTGCTTCACGCGTACGCCTCCTCCTCTGTTTCTCACATCCCTCTTGCAAGACAGCTGTTCGATGAAATGTCTGAGAGAAACGTTGTTTCTTGGACTGCTTTGCTTTCTGGGTATGCGAGGTCTGGTGATATCTCCAATGCTATTGCTCTTTTTGACGAAATGCCTGAGCGTGATGCTCCTTCCTGGAACGCCGTTCTTGCTGCTTGTACACAGAATGGTCTCTTTATGGAAGCGATTTCTCTGTTTAGAAAGATGATCAATGACCCTTATGTTCTTCCTAATGAGGTAACTTTAGTTTGTGTCCTTTCCGCTTGTGCTCAATCTGGTAACCTTCAGCTGGCCAAAGGGATTCACGCCTTTGCATACCGTCATTCTCTTTCTTCCCATATGTTCGTCTCCACTTCATTGGTGGATTTGTATGGAAAATGTGGCAACTTGGTGGAAGCAAGCTCTGTTTTTAAGATGACGAACAAGAAAACCCTAACAGCTTGGAACTCCATGATAAACTGCTTCGCTCTCCATGGTAGAAGCGAAGAAGCCATAGCAGTGTTTGAAGAGATGATGTGTAACCATGTAAAGCCAGATCGCATTACTTTTATAGGTCTTCTCAATGCATGTACACATGGAGGTTTGGTAACAAAAGGCCGACATTATTTCGACATCATGTCAAACAGATTCGACATAGAGCCAAGGATTGAGCATTACGGCTGCCTGATAGATCTTCTAGGCAGAGCAGGTTTGTTTAACGAAGCATTGGAAGTTGTGGCTGAGATGAAGATGAAACCAGATGAAGCTATTTGGGGATCATTGCTTAACGCTTGTAAGAAATATGGCCATTTGGATTTGGCTGTTGTTGCTGTTAAGAATCTTGTTGCTCTAAATCCTAACAATGGAGGTTACATCTCCATGATGGCAAACTTATATGGAGAGATGGGTAACTGGGAAGAAGCACGCAGAGCTAGAAAGATGATTAAACTCCAAAATGCCTATAAAACACCAGGCTGTAGTTGGATTATGATCGACAGTGAGGTCAATCAGTTCTATTCTCTTGACAAGTCGCATCCGAAGAGCGAGGAGATATGTGATACTTGACAGTTTGATGTCTTTATGACACCTTGGGATGGTCCTAGATTTTCATATTGACTTGACTAAGCTGTGTACTCTGCTTTCTAATGGCTACAAAGAAGCTGTGGAAGTTACAACTTTTCCATTTTTTATATCGTTGCTTTCTCCACAGGTTACATACTTGCATACTAATACCCAACAGCTGCTACTGTATTGTTGTCGACTTGTTGCATAAAAAGAGAAACCTATTACGTGGTTTTCCAGCAATAATTATGTTGCTTCTAAGACAGTTACGTGCTGACTTATCATTACTTTGCTCTCTTTCTTGCGTGTTCTTTGTAATTCTCAAGTCCATGGAAGATTAAACATGGCGTTAAAGAGAAGTTGTGCTACACATTTACCTCTTCTTTAAGTTTTGTATCACTTTCTCGCGTAGGTTTGTTGGTACTGATCCATAAACGAACACATAATATAAAGGATTTATTGCATTTACAGAGATTTTACAAGACATCATACTCGATTATGGATTCAACCAGAACTCCTTTTGGGACTCAGAAGAGCTTAGTTTACCAGTTTGGTCCTCTTCATACGCAATGTCAACAACTCTTGGACCCTTGACTTTGTCTGCGGAAAGCTTGTTGATGGTAATAGTGAGCACACCATTCTCAAGCTTGGCCTTGACAGTATCCAAATCCACGTTATCAGGCATTCTAAATTGTCTCCAGAACTTACCGTAAGACCTTTCAACTCTATGCCAATGATCTCCTTCTTTCTCTTCCTCTCTTTTCCTCTCGCCGCTTACTCGCACAACCCGATTCTCCTCCACTTCGATCTTTACCTCATCCTTCTTCATCCCAGGAACATCGAGCCTGATCACATGCTCCTCTGGTGTTTCTTTCCAGTCAACTCTCGCTGGAGACAGAGCCACGCTCTGATCTCTATCAAAACCTAATGGGAATTGCTCCAAGACTCTGAAAGGATCTCGTAAGGACCCTTCAGTGGGTTTGATGTTTCCGAGGAATAGAGTTATTAGGAAAAGACCTAACAAAACAAGAGAGAACTGCTTCATTTTTAGCTTTTCTTGCAGAAGGGGCTAACTGGGAGTGGGAGTGATACTGGTTTTTAACTCTTAATTACTTCTTGTGATGAACTTGTTTCTTTCTCTTTCTCTATGAGTGTTAAGGAGCAAAATCTGTTGTGAATATATAGACTCGTATCATGGAGTGTAGAATGTCCACACATTCTCGAACATTCTCTCATTAACTTTTTCTTCTACTTGAGAGAGAAATTGAGAACGTTCTAGGTTTTGTCCTCTCGTTAGGTTGCTTTCAAATAAACATTGCTTAGATTAAAGAAACATGTGAGTGTCTTCTGTAATTCTCCAGACACTTCATGTCAATATAGAGAAGTCTAAAATGCGTGGTTACTAATTGTCTTTTCTAGAGGACCCAATACAGAATAAGGCCCATCATTCTTGTTTCTAAATAGACCTTAGCATATGGGAAATATGCATATAGAAGAAGCATTCTTTATTTTGGTCCAAAATTACTTGGACAGAACCAAACTGTTTCAAAGCAACGCATAAAATACGGTAAAATCCATGTGTATTTTTTTTTCAACACTAGTTAATTATGCATTACAAATTACATCCCCTATATACTAATTATAAAATATTTTTAAAAAAAATTTGTATTAATTAAAGAATAAACATATCCTACATGGCAGTTCTCTATTCCTTCTAATTCAATTTAAAAGGATTATAGAGCACATTATATAAACTTTAGTCTAAAAATTATATTCTATAGTAATATAATATTTGTCAAGCTATAGTTGATCGCATATAACAAATATTTATTGTTCCGTAGGCTTTCCTTAAATAAAACCTACAGAATTACCTAATGTGATTAAAATATATATAGCAATTTATGATCTTAAACAATAAAGATTTGAATTTATCTAAAGAAGAAGGTGAGATTGGTTTCAGGATGATCCATGAATTTAACTTGGATTTGTTAGCAAAGCAGTTATGGAGGCTAGTACAACACCCAGATTCCATGGTTGCTCGTGTGTTAAGGGGTCGATATTACTGATTAAGTTCACCGTTGCGTCAGCTTACTGTTAGCAGCCCATCATATGTGTGGACAAGTTTATCGGCGGCACGTGAGCTACTTTTACTAGGTTTTAGACATACGATCCATTCAGGATACGAGGTGAAAGTATGGGAGGATCTTGGATCCCTACTATACCAGCGAGACCGGCAACCCCATCGGCACCGGTGTTGCATCCAAACATAAGAGTAAGCGATCTTATTAACCAAGAGACAAAGACTTGGGATGCGATGAGACTGGAAAACTACATAGATGCTGCTGATATACCTCTCATGAGGAGTATGTCAATTAGTTCTACACATCGCAGGGACACATATTGCTGGAGCTATATAAGGAATAGACAATATACAGTCAAATCTGGATATTGGGTAGCACAGAATGTTCTAAAGAAGGAAGAGGAGACTGTAGTTAGTGAACCTCGTATCACTAGACTACAAGCACAAGCTTGGAAGGTACAGGTCCCCCAGAAGATGTGCCACCTTATGTGGCAACTAATAACATGTCATGTGGCTGTTACGAGCACTTTAAATTATAGGCATATACGGTGTGACAATTACAGTCCATGATGTGGAGAACCTGAAGAAACAATTACACATGCCATTTTCTTGTGTCCACCTGCCAAACAAGTTTGGGCCTTATCGTCCACGCCTACTAGTCCTACTTTGTTCCCACTACAGAGCACATATAAAAACATGGACTATCTCTTTTGGAGGAAAAACACCATAGCAGGACCGGACTTGGAAATGGATCCTTATCCATGGCTTATATGGTATATTTGGAAGGCTCAGAATGACAAATTATTCAAGGGAATTGATAGAGACCCACTGGAATTAGCCAGATATGCAGAGAGTGAATGCCAAACCTGGTTCAAAGCAAACGAGCAGATTTCCCTGTCCTCGCAAGGAAATATAGATGCTGATAGTCAGGCCAAAATTCTGGGGGACATTTGTCTGGTAGATGGCTCTTGGACCTCTACAGCTCAGTTTAGTGGATGTGGATGCGTTTGGAATGATCATATGGGGAACAGTCAGCTGATGGGAATGCGCAAATTTGATAGAGCGGAGTCTGCTTTGCACTCTGAGTTGAAAGCACTGCCGTGGGAAATGGAGAACATGCTTCAATATTCGCCATGTTAGAGCTTTGGGACATACTGCAAGGAAATGATAGCAATGCTTAGGAGTCCACAAGATTGGCCGAGCTTCTCAACGGAACTGGAAAAGCTCACGACGTTGCGGATTTGCTTTCCAGATTTTAAGATTTTCTATATTCCTAGGACATAGAATGGATTTTCCGATTCCCTAGCTAAGACTACTCGATCTTTCTATCAAGATTTGGTGTTTGTTGGTTGTTCTATTCCGGCCTGGATTCTCAGGCCACCTCAAGCTTGAGTAATAGATCAGCCGTTCGTTGTAAAAAAAAACAAAAAAAAAACAATAAAGATTTGATAATAATCTGTATAGTTTTATCATTTTTGTTTATTTATTTATTATTAAAATAAACTACACAATTACATTAATCATATAATAAAATTGTAGATTTTTTTGTGTATGTTGTATTTCGAATTTATCAAAATGAGTATAAATTACTAAAACTGTTAAAAGTCTCGCATAAGCTTTTATGATCAAGGTTTAAATTTTTTTCCATATTAAGATACCGTTATTATAAGACCACATGAAGAAATAATTTTATTTTAATAGGTTTTATGTTAATATATATATATATATATATATATTTATATATTTTATATCCTTTGAATTAAAATATACATCGTATGAAAATACATACTTATATTTTGATATTTGCATCGAACATATATTGAAAAGTTAATCTTTAATTTTAAAACCTGTCATTTTTTTTTAAAATGATTATAAATTATCAAAACTACTAAACATCACACATTAAAAAATATTCGTTGGTGTAAATTTTTGTTAGACAAATATGCAAATAATCATAAAATCATATGAGTAGAAACCTCATCTGATAAATATCCATATTCAAAGTGTGCTATATATCTATATTAATATCATTTAAATTTAATTATATATCTTATACGATAGATAAGATTGATTATTTTGATTTGTTTACCCTAATTGTGAATAAACAAAAGTGATTGTTAGATTAATACACAGACGCCAATTTATTACATAATAATAAATGATTTATTATTTATTTAATATATGTACTTATTATTTTATTATTTCATAATATGCAGAAAAACATAAAATAAATAATAAATATAAAATACTTATTCTGGAAAAAGTGCAAATCTTAACTTAATTATGTATCTCTTTAATTATTTTAAATCTTAAGCAATTTCTAAATCTTAGGCCAAAATAAACAAACAAAATGAGAGTAAACTTCAAAATAAATACTTATATCGAGCAATAACTAAAATAAAAAAGACACAAAAAGAGAAAAATATTGGAGATAGATATGATTGGCACGTGAACGTAAACTTCTCATAACCATAATTAATTTTTAAATTGCTAAAACATGATATAAAACCGAGTTGAAATAGTTTCATTGTAACCATTGAAATCAGCTCATATTGACCTTAAACATTTTTAAAAATGAGATCAGCTCATCAGTAAACAAATTATGTAATTAAAAAAAAATAAAGAATTGTTTTTTTTTTTACAACGAAAGGCTGATCTATTACTCAAGTTTGTTTAAAGACCAAAATATTAATTCAATCAATAATATAGATTTACTTTTAAGTAATTTTTATATAAATTTATCATGCGCAAGGTGAAGGTCTTATCCTAGTAGACGATATTATAGCTGACAATTATATCTGTCGTATGCGGATTTACGTTAATTGCATTACTTTGGGCGCCTATGAGATCCATTTCTGACGGTACGCCTTACGCTATGCTGAAAATCTGTTTAAGCATTTTCTCCAATATTGAAACCCTCTTGGTGTAGAAACTGTGTAGCTTCGGATTCGAACCCCAGATCTGATGTAAAAACTTTTAAACTTTAACCACTAGGCTACGGTGCTTCCACATGTATTATTTTTTTTTAACCACAAAATCCATGTGTTTCATTCGTATCCAAAATAACCAAACCATGCTGATTTTGCTCTCCACTGAAGATGAGAAAATGGGTAAATTATAACAAACCAACTTTTATTTTAGGAGCTCACTAATAATGGTATGCAGAAATCATGTCTCTTTAGTCAAGCTGTGCAAAGCTGCTCAGGATCCTTCACATGAATCAAGCTCTCTTATGTTTTTGAATTTATGGAGTTTAGCGATAAAGATCAGACTGTAGTGTCTGTGACAAACCTATTTAAATTTTCTGTAATATTTTCAGTAAAGAGAGAAACCCAAAAGACCACTGATAGGTTTCTATATTTATTACTTTTAAACTATGTTATATGATATATTTGGAGTTTTTTTATGTGTATTTAGGATGTGTTTTAGAGTCTTTACAAGTTTAAATGTGTGTTCGGAGCACTGTTGAGATTATTAGGCGTTCGAGAGTTTAAAAGATAAGAATCCCATAGCTGATCAAATTCAGCATAATACAAAGTCTAGATAGAACATAACGTCGATAGATGACGCACCCTTACCATCGATCGACGGTTTATTCGCGAAAACCCAATCCGTGAAGCAGTTGACTTAAAGCCAAAGTCAGAACAGTTTACAAGATAAGTTTTACCTAGTTTATATGTTATTTGCTGATGTTTTATGAAAAACAACCGCTTTTTGCACTCTTTCATATTTTTAGAACAAATTTAGTATCTTAAGGTTTTTGGAGAGAAGATCAAGCTTCTTCAGAGCTATGTATTGGAACCTAGTTTTTATCCCTACTCTTTATTATATGCTACATTTTATGATTATGTGTTGCTTGAAAGTACGCCTGGGCATTCAGATATTCGGTTCGGTTCCGGATAAGAACCATTCGGTTCTGGGTATATCAGATAAATTATTCTTATACCCAATAGGTACTTATGAGATTTCGAGTCGGTTTCGGTTCGGTTCCGGGTACCCATTTAATATATAAATCAAATATATACACACAGAATATATTAGTTAAATGTTAATTTAAATGATCTAGTGCTTAACACGCTTACATATTCGTCAATCCAACAAGAGTTCAAATCAGTAAATTGTTAATTTTATAAATATTTTAATATTTTAATATAGAAATACCATATATATTTATAATATAACATAATAAATAAAACATAACGTCGTCTGGTGGTAAACTATACGTACTCTTTGTATCTAATATGGGTTCAAGTGGGCTTGATGTCATTTTATCTTATTTTTTTTAAAACAAAATTTCGGATATTCGGGTACCCGTTCGGTTTCGGTTCGGTTTTTTGAATATAGAAATATAGGAACAATTCGGATATTTAAGAATTTTGGTCCGGTTTCGATTTTGGGTATTTTGGTTCGGTTCCGATTTGGTTTTCCGGTTCCAGTTTTTTTGCCCAGGCCTACTTGAAAGTGTCTGAATAGTCACCTTGTTAGATTTAAAGGTTTTGATGGATTAGCCAAATTATAGAATTGCGAGGGTGATTATTAGATCTATCCTCAGTAGATTGCTTAATGCTTGTGTTTTAGATTAACTACCTAGAACTATGAACTACGATATTGAGAGTTGTGTAATTGCTTGATCAATACCCGAATAATCTCTGATTGCTTAATGCTTGTGTTTTAGATAAGCTACCTAGAACTATGAACTACGATATTGAGAATTTTAGTGGTTCTAGGTGATTAACTGAATCTGGTTGAATTAATGTTTGACTAAGAAAGCCATCTATCGATGTCATTTACATACCATCGATCGACGGTCATTCTGAGTTTGCACACGCAAGTTGTTAACTCTGAGCTTAGTCATAAGATAAATATAGTTGTTTCTTGACTTATTAAACTCGTGTTCTAGGATTGCAAACTCTTAGCATTATATCTATTATAACTCACTATCCGAAAATCCGAGATCTAGTTATTTTTCTTATTTGCTTACAACCCAAGAATTTTCATATATACTTTTTTAATAACACATAAAAATTACCTAGCATAACTGAATTGAATATCAAATCCATTGTGTGTCTTCGCTCTCTGTGGGGTTGATCCCTAAGTATTAAATCTGAATTTCTTATTTGAGAAAGTAATCAGTAGCTCTAGGGTAATTTGGGTACGTATCAAATTTGGCGCCGTTTCCGGGTGTGGGAACCAGAATTCACATTGTCAATTTTCGTAGTTGAAGGAAAGTCAAGAAATCCTAACTTTCCATGAGATCTCGGATTTTAGCTGAACCTTACGACAAGGGATCAATTATATGAAAACAGACGAAATAAATAAATCGAGATGAAGAATAAAGAAATATAGATCTTATTCTGAATCTGCGTATAAACATACAATCGGTGAAAGTCTTGACCGCAAGAGCTGTCGACGAGTATACTATTTCTATCAACCGAAGAATTAAAAATCTAATTGAGTCACAGTTCGATAACACAAATGGAAAGTTTCCTAAATTTCTCTAAGTGCTAAGTTTGCTGAGAATTTTTGTGTCCCCTCATCTCTTGCCTTGACATCCCTTATATACTCCTCCTAGTTCGGTTTGACTCTTTCTTTTTCTTCCCTTGGTTGAGTTTATCCTTTTGCAAAAATATTCCATTTCCATCTTCATGATTATCCTCCAAAACTTGACCTTATCTTCTTTCGTGAATATTCGATAAACCATCATAGTATTCTTGAGCTCATTCTCATCCTGAAATCCTAAGTGGACCTTTGCCGCGTTTGGATCCTTTTTGGACCGTTTTCTGACTAAAGAGTTTTTACGATTTCTTTCGGAGAAATTGTCTTTCGCATGGTGGTTTATGAAATAATGTAAATCAGTCGTATAATCAAGATAACCATGGTGTTTAAGTTAACCATTATTTTTATACGATAGATTCAAATTCATACAAGAAACAAAGGCTTAGTTAATTTTGGCGCAACGTTTCAACGGTAACTCTGATTGAGACTAAATGAGAGACAGCCCGATCGAGACTTTGAAAGAGAGAGTTCCAGAGAGGGGGGCGAGAGTACAGGGTGTGGGATTGATCCAGGCTTCCTAAGTGCATTTCAGAAGAAGTTTATCTAACTCTCCCGATGGCAAGCTGGACGTGGTCGGTCTAACTCGCCATCGAGGGAGCATGATGTATGCATCCAACTCGCCCGATGGAGGGTTTGGACGAAGTTGATTTGGTTGTTTTGATGTCCAGAAATCGTTTCTTCGAGAGACTGAATGATCTTTTTCCAAGAACTCGTGGTTTGAAAGTTTTTACTAATTTTCTTGTTTTACCACATTTTCATTTCCTTTTTAGAGAAGAAAGGTTTTTTGGAACTTTCCGATACTGATTTCGTCGTAAACAATTTTGACCCCAACAATTAGCTCTCTAGCTCGCAAGTTTTGATTTCGATTTGTGCGGGTGGTTAGAAATGTTAGGAAAGTTAGGCAGAATTAATGGCAAAAAGTCCAAAGGTAAATAGTTGATTTTTTGCTCCTATAAATATGGGGAGTAAGTTTTTTGAAATTGTTACTTGCTCACTTCCACAAGAATTTTTCTCAAGGTAGAAAAATATTTCCGTCCATTTTTCTTCCTTTGTGAGTATTGATCATGTCTTCGATTCAGAGGGCTTCAGGAAATGCTACGCTTCTAGTTTCAACCCTGAGAGTCTTCGTACCCATGACGGGGGAATCAACTTGAAGATCGAGTTTGTGGCGCACTCTATAGATCTTGTGGGAGCGAAAACATACTGGTTTACCACATGCGATTTAAAGCCCCCCCCCACATGAATTAAGGTGTCCTACCAGGCCTCATATTAAAATAGTCAAGGACAGTTCGAGAAATAGTGGCTATCCGTTCCTCAAAATCGTCTGGGATTTTCGTCGTATCCCAGATTCGGTGGAGGTACAGATTCCAAAGGCTGGGGAATGCAGATACTCCTTTGGATCGATTTGGATTCTTGATTAGCGAGATTACGCTTACTGGTTTCTGGTTTGAGCTACAAACGTGGACTGATCCTTGATGTCGACTATGTCAAAGCTTTGCTGATGGCAAAAGGGGAACAGAAAATCGCTCAAATATTCTTTGATTCAAAAACCGCATATGTCGATAATCAAGGGATTTGCTTCCAACCTGCATGATTGGCAGCATTGATATTTTTTCGGTATATACAGTGCATCAATCGCGGAGTGATGCATTCCTATTTTTAGGAGTATATGGGGTTGAAAGGGTATCTTGATCGGATATTCGTTAGCTTTGCGTTTTGGAGATATCCAACTTTGCGATCGTGTCCCTTGATTTGTAGTGACCAACCCTCTTCCTTCGTTTTCCGAGGATTTGCTCATCATCATGAACATCCTCCAGAACAGCCTGTTCTTTTGAGGCTAATTTCCCCCGAAACAAATACGTCTTGCAGTCGTGTATCATCGTTTCCAACTTCAGCCTGATTTTCCGGTTGAGAAATATTCAGATCCGAGCATGGATGAGTTTGTTCCTTATGACAGCCTAGTGGAGAAGGAGAGAGAAAGGTCCCTAAAGACAAACACATTTCCATTAATGAAGATAATGCCGCTGATGGACTGGAGCTTCCTGCGGATGACGAGTGGTTTCACAACTGCCTTCGGAGCCAAGCTGGTGGAAGTCGTGTTGATCAGGTCAACCCACCAGGGTTTGATGCTCTTGGTCCCGATCTTGACATATTCTTTTCCTCGATCGGGACTGACTTTGATCCGCTCCTGGCTGATGGCGAGCATGTTGAGATGTAAAAGTTTACGAGTGCTTCGCGGATGTGCAATGGGGTTTTAGTTTTTATATTTTGCTAATTTTGTTTTCTGCCAAATTTTTACTAACCTTAAAAACTTGCAGGGCCTTCGCGTTTTGAAAGAAACCCTGAACGCAAGTTATGTGGAAACATGCATAGTTCAATTTAGGCCTAAGAGAGCCGAGATGGAGGTTGCTCGCCAAAGGAGAGAGAAAATGGTGAATTATGAGCGTGAGTGGGTTAAGGCCGCAAGGCAGGCTAGTCGTGCGTCTAGAGAGGGCAAGCGAGAAGTGGCCGAGGTTAGGAAGAATCACACCATTCAGTTTGAGGCTCATTTTGAGAATCTGAAGGAGACTTATAAGACTCTCAGAGACTACCGCGAGTGTCGGGGCTCTGTACGCGTTTTATGGCGCACGCAGCAACAACATTATTGACGTCGCGATGATCAAGTTTTCAGGTCGTATGAATATTCGTATGAATGTGAAATCTGGATTTCGTCAATTGAAGAGAATATTTGGGAGCAATGGGCTCCCATTCCGGTTTTTCCTGATTCAGAGGAGATCCATTTTGGAGTTCCCGGTGAGGACGTGGAAGTGAACCAACCTGCGGCTCTTCCGAATGTCAGCGACGTACGTTTGGGGGGTTCGATGTCTTGAAAATTCGAGTATGACCCATGAAGAATGCTGGTGAGTAAAGGAGTGTGTTCCCTAATTTTTTCTATTTCTTCTTGTTTTTACTTTGGAAAGTGTGGATGTTTTTAGATTGTGTATGCTCAGGCCAAGTATGGTTGTTTATGTTTATTGGGACTGGCCATATGTGGCTTTGAATCTCTACCGCTTTGCGGCTTTTAATGAATGAAATATGGTTTATGTGTTTAAAGAGTTTGTGTGTTTTCGTAGATGCTGAAGAAAGAATATGAGTTGTCATCTCATGTCTAACTCTTTGATAGATTGTTACATTCGTTGTCCGTTTTAGACGAAGAAATCCGACAAGTTTTCTTTTGCGGAGATTTGTGAACGTTGGAACATAAACACATAGACAAGTTTTGAGATCTCATATCGGTTAGATTAGATGCCTTGAGATGTATGAGACCATTGTGTTGGGTTTAGGATAAGACGCCTAACAACGGTTTAGGGGTGAAATGACTAACTCGGCGTGTATTTTTTTTAACATGATTCCGTCGAATATTGAAGTCTGTGATAATTTCTCAGCTTATCTGACTTGCATCGATTGGGAATCGAGCAACTCTCCAAAGACAATTTTAAAGTCGTCTGGAAATACTGACTAAAATTTTAAATTTCGGTTATAGCGCGCTATTATCCTTGTGTCGAATGTATGAGGACAAATCTGACGAGAGTAAAGGTCTAACGTTCGTTTAGAGAATGGTTTGATGTATTTTTGGAGGCTAATCTAAAAATGCAGTGTAAAAACAAGTGTATGGTCTCACGAGTTTATTGTAATATTTTAGTTACGGACGAACTGTTTTTTTTGTTCGAAATTAAAAATTTATATTTTCGAAGGTTTTCTTGCTACGTGTCGCTTCTGTTTTTCGAAAATATGTTTTATTGTAAGTTTTTGAAGGTAGGTTTTAGCGTTTTGGTTGGGCATTGATCTTGACCATGTATCCGAGAAACATTTTTGTAGTAGTTTGTTTAATATACTGTTTTTTCTAAACAAAAATTTTATGGGTTTAAATAATGTTGGGTTATACGATAATAATTTTCTTGTACTTGGGCATTTTTTTAGCAAATCATGGATAGCTATTGTAGCTGCTAAGTAATTTGCAAGATGGGATATGCGCTAAAACAGATTTCCAAGATTTTTTGGAAATCATATCGTGTTTTCTTATTATCATACTATGTTTTCTTATTATCCGTAAAAGTTTTTAAAATATCGAGTACAAGGATGAATATTTAAAACGTGGGAGTATACAATTATAAATATATGTACCCACTCCCCCACCCTTTTTAGAGATGGGGACAGCTGAACTCGTCTTTCAAAGAGTTGCCTACGTATCCTTTTCAGAGATCAAGCTGATTTGTTGTTCAGTTTGTGCCACGAGCGTTATTACTTGGCGGCTGCCACTGCGTCGATTGCCTTAGTTGAAATTACTGTCGCTGGATATATGACTTATTTCGGTTTGGCTGGAGCGTTTGGCTCGGAAGTTGGTTTGCTTTCTTTTTCCGAAGCCGTTGGTCGGGTGTATGGTGCTAGGTCATCCTTTTTGGAAGTATTTTCAGTCGGAGACTGAGTTGTCTTCTCGCATTTTGGTTTAGGCATGGACGTTGTCGTGATTTTCCCTAGTTTATGTTCAGCCAGGAAGCAAAGTCGCGACTGTTTTTGACAGCCACAGATCACTGCAGTTCTGTTCGGAGTCGGAAACTTGATATCTATGTGATAGGTTGATGGGAATGCTTTCATGGACTTTATCCAAGGCGTTACCATGATCATGTTATAGATGGCTGGGTGGTCGACGACCGCAAAATACACGATTCTTGTGACTTCTTTTGCCCTGACCAGGAGATTGATCAATCCGAGCGTCATAGAAATTGTGCCAGAGAATCAGGTGATTGGTCTCGACGTTCATCCTATGGAGCACGTCATGGAGAATAACATTGACGGTAGTTCTTGTGTCTACAAGGACTCTGAGAACTTCAAGATCCTTTATCACAAGGTTGATCACGAGTGCATTACAGTGAGGCTTGTCAATCTCGGCGGTCTCACGTACCTCAAACGTTATCGTGTCGTTTGGGACGTCAGGGGGTGAAGACTGGTACACGATCATCTTGGCTTTTCGTTGATAAGCATTTATTAACGATACGGTATCGTGGCAATATTTTGATCCTTCGGTGATCATGTTTATTTTGTGACAACTACTATCGTTCCCTCTGTCATGTGCCCTTTTTCCCAATTTTCCATTCTTGATCGATTTCCTTGGGAAGAATTTTCCGCTGGTGGAGTTTGATCAATTTTATATCAGTCACCTCCAAACTTTTTCTAGCTAGCAGCTTTTTCGTTAGCCTCGCACAGAGAAGCTGCTCAATGAAAAATATTTGGTGACTACAACCGTCCAAATCAATTCTATGCCAAGAGATCTCATTCGTCCTCCATATTTCCAAAGGAGCGATTATGAGCTGAAGCCAGCCTATGTCATATTGGTGGAACATACACCATATCATGGTCTCTCACATAAGCATCCTTTGGATCACTTGAAACGATTTGACGATTTTGTGTCTGCCATCAAGGCTAAAGGATTCCCCATGGACTATCTCTTATACAAGCTCTTCAAGTACTCACTTGCTTGAGAAGCTTCATTGGCTTAAGTAGCTACCACAAGGATCTCTTACCTCTTGGACTGACATCAAAAACGCCTTTCTACGTAACTTCTTTGATGATGCCAGAGCTGAGGAATTGAGGAGCAGAATTGCTACATTCACACATGAGCCTTCATAATGTTTCAAAAGGTCCTGGATCAGATCAACTCCTACCAAAGAGACTGTCCACATCATGGATTCAAAAAAGTGAAACTTCTCCATATTTTCTTTAGAGGTGTTAATTTATCATACCAGCGAGCTTTAGGCACAGCCAATGATGGAAATTTCTGTACACAGATCCCAAAAGAAGCCATCAGATTGATAGGGAACTTGGCAGGTAGCAACAACACAAAGAAAAACGATTTGAAAGGAAGAAATCAGCGCTTACACTGACCAATGATCAGATGGAAGAAGTAAAAGACAACTTGGAGAGTGTTCAGATGTTTCTGAAGAGGCAAGTTAGTTTTGCAGAAGAAGAGGCAAGTTAGTTTTGCAGAAGGTGTATAAACTATAAGATCTGAAAATATTGAAGAAGAAGATGTGAATTTTGTTGGGAATGAGTCCTCGAGATATGGGAATTAGAGCAACAAGAACCCCTATGGCATTGATCAGATGGGTAACTACAACCAAGGTTCACAGTAGCAGAGATCCTACAGCAACAACATAACCTATGGATCTTCCTCCTATCAGAACATCCCACCAGTCACCCAGGAAAGTAATATTGAAGCCATGATTGACAAGGTTCTGGAAGGACAGTAGAAGATGACAGTGGATGTCAATTGAAAGATTGATGCTGTTTATGTCAACCTCAATACCAAGTTTGAAACCCTTAATACCTATGTGAAGAATTTAGAGAATCAGGTTGTTCAGACCAGTGAGTCTGTGAGTAGCCAAGAGGTCTTAATTTAGGAGAAGATTGACGCTAGACAGAGGCATCACGTTAATTCCATTTTGGATGAACAATTTTGGCAAGTGATGGAAGAAATTAGACACCGAGATGAAGAAACTCGTCAAAACCCCTTGTCCTGTTTGAATGACCATCGGTTGATAGCCATAGTGACCCATTGATCGAACGTACCCGATGAAACCAAATGATCATGCAACATGATGATCATCGATCGACAGTCCCCTACCATCGATTGACGTTGGTTCAAAATGAAAAAGTGTATGTTGCCAAGAATAGACACAAATCTTCTCTATGCCAATAGACATCCGACTACCATCCCACCCAAAATAAGACATGTAGATGAACCAGACCCTATGGTAATAGATGAAGCTGTAGTGAAACACCATAGAGGGAAGAAGAAGGTCACTAAGCATCTTAGCAGAAGAGTTAATGAGAAAGAGATGGATAACTTTACTAATAGAGTTCTTAGGATCCCCTTAGAAACCCCATTGGAGGAAGCTTATTACAGCCATCAATTATTGATGTTCTTCGGAGAAACCAAGGAAACTGATAAGGACATTGAGGACATGTTCAATCTTCTGAGGGAGAAAAAAAAGCAGAGAGTCCAGTTGAAAAAAAGAAGTGACCCTAGTAAGTTTGTGGTTCCCTGTAACATCAAGGAACATGATTATAGAGATACACAGATATCTACCTCATTAATACGTGTATCTCAATCATATATTCTCGTATATTCTGTTAATAACTCTCTAGGGTTCTCTTGATGTAATATATAAGCAACGATGTATTCTCATTCTATATACAAGAAACATTCTAAACCTATATGGTATCAGAGCTTCCTTTCCAAAGACCTCAATAAAAAATTTCTTTCCTTCCTTCTTTCTTACATCTCGTATCAATGGCTCAACACGCAGCCGAGATTATCAACGCTGACACTACAGAAACGCTTGTCTCCGTTAACATGGTGAACGTGACGAAGCTCACAACAATGAACTACATAACCTGGAGTGCTCAAATCAAATCACTCCTGCGAGGTTATGATCTGCTGAAATTCATCGATCCCACCATCATACCGCCACCGAAGAACATCATAAATGCTGGTCGCGATGAACCCAACCCCGACTTCCTCCTATGGCAGAGACAAGACAGTCTCCTTTACATCTCTATTATGGGCTCCATTGAGACGGCTCATCAGCCTCTCATAACAACAGCCGCATCCTAACTCGAAGCTTGGACTCTCCTCACCTCGACGTATGCTAAACCACAAGAGGTCACATCAAACAACTCAAACAACAGCTGAAACAAAGCACCAAGGGAACCAAAACAATTGATGAATACATGCAGCAGATTTACGCAAAAGCCGATGGACTCGCTCTACT